CTTGTTGCCAATCAATTTGGCTTCCTAGTTCAAGCGCAATGATGCTATATTGACCCGTTTTGCGACGTATCATGTGCAACGGCGTGCATAATTCACTCTCGTTAAAGCGGGAGTGCAGCATCGTTATATTGGCAACAGCGATCGTTCGTGGATTTACAAATCCCCGTGACGGCGAACCTCTCGGGACTTTCGCTTGTTTTTTGGTTCGAGCTTCGATATCTCCGCACGGCCCCTGATTTAACGGAGCTGCCTGCTTTTTCTCCTAGTTTCTTGTGTATCGACAAGGTTACGCCGTCTTCCAATCGCTAAAAGGAAAGTCCCAGCATTACTGCTTGGCAAATACTATAATATAAAAATAGGATGGATCAAATTGTCGCGTGGTTTTGACCCAAACTGTCGTGTAAATTGAATTTATGACTAGTTCGCTCGAATACTCGAGCCATATAGGACGTGTAGTGGGTTACATATGTAAAAATAGCTTTTATACCTCGAAACTTATGCGATTATAATATATTACGAGCGTCTACGTTTATAAACAAAGGGCGTAATAAGATTGTGTATGATTGGAATGAATCCCGGCAGGATTTTAAAAACAATACCCTATATATTTCCAATCTCGTGGCCTTTGAAAGCGACGCTTGTACCGAATTTGAAAGTAATCGATCGATTAATCTGATATTGGCAGTCTCATAAATCGATGATTTTTTTTTTTTTTTTTTTTTGTCTTCGGGAGAAATTTTATTTTTATGAAATAAGTCAAATCAAAATGACCAAGTCCAACTTGGTAAATTGCGATATTGTACATTTGATAATTCATATAATTGATTGATTTTAATGACGAGTCCAAACGATCTTACTACGTTCATTTAAAGTCTTTTTAATATATTTGACAAGCGAATGGATGTAGATAAGCCAATGATACTTTAAAATCGAAATACATATTGTATTTGACCTCGGTTAAATTGAAAAATTAACAAATTTTTATAACATAATTCTGTTCATACTATAGATTTAAATTTTACTATATTTCTTTATTAAGTATTTCTTTATTAATGTATTTTACATTACCGTTAATGAAAAATTAATAATTCAGCATTACTACGGGATAAAGCGTCGCTTGAGAAAAACAAAACAAATATATAAAAATAATTAGAGTATAGTGTAGCAATAGGAAATGCACTATAATGTTTTTATAAAAATAAACTTTTTTTCCATTATACAGAGATACGAACATTTTTAAAAGTCTTCTTTTTTCTTTTTTATTTACAATACAACTACCGCAATGTTCTATTAATGTCAGAAATATAAAACAATAATAATAATAATAATAATAATTATTATTATTATTATTATTATTATTATAAAAAAAAAGAGCTGTATTCATAGAATTGAATAAATATTCCGAAAGCAAAAAAATGCCGAGGTCATTAAATTGAAGTGAATTAATAAAATGAACAGTTTTTTAATTCAAAATTTTTAACAATCTCCTCGTGCATTAATGCAACAGCCATTTGACATACATTGAAAAGTATATTCCAATGCAATTTATTATTGAATATCAGTTTAATCGTGAATATACGTACGTCAATGTCAATCTGTGATTCTTCATTAACAAAAATGTGTACATATTCTTTCGTTCATCTTGCTTTTAATGTAAATTGAAATATAAATAAAATTTTTTTAATGAAAACTACATTTCTAATGCCAATGTTTTTCCAAAAGAAATAATTGGCAGCGAATTCACTTGTTTCCAAGAAGTGTACAATTGAATAAGAGATAGTAGAATGATTTTTTAAATATAGTCGGGAGATGTTTTTTTTTTTTTTTTTTTTTTTTTTTTTTTTTTTAATAGTTACATTAAATGTAATTTGTAAAATGCTTTCTTCCGTTTAATGTGGCTTGCATAACAAGTTCCGTATTGCTATTATGGATTATTACTTTAACGGTCAACTGTTTATGAGCTACAGCGAACAGTGCAGTGAAAAAGGTTTATGGTTCCCTCAAGTGACTTACGATGATTTATAAGAAAAACTTCATTAGACTAACAGAATTATATATCGTGTAATGATTATGAACGTAAATAGGACGCTGTTTAAATTAATCGCTTATTACCATGGCCAAGGTGTACAATATTTTTTCAGGTAAATAGTAATAATATAGAGTTTGAACTCTCGTCGATAAATTTGAAACGAAAGAACTTTGTATAGTGAAATTTTGAGTCTCATTCTCTTGAGAGGCGAAGGAAAATCACATATGTAGCCATTGTATTGCTGGCAAAAGAAATAAAGCCAAAATGGGGTATTTAATCTGGGAGCCGGTAAAGTTATTGCCAGCTCGAAACAATGCTTGCAGTAGCTGCACTCGAGAGTTTTCTCATTACACGATAATAAGCGTATCGGCTGAAATGCGAGTAATTAGTCAGGGGGCCCGATTATTCTTCCCTTTGTCTTTTGGCTTGGAATTTGCGAGGAACAGTGCTTTAAACACCGTTAGCTTGTCATTTCGGCCATTTGGAAAAGCTCGTTAGACGTGGCTTTGCAAAACTAACTGGGGCACAATTATTTTTCATTTCCATTTGAAATTTTCTTGATGAAACTCGAAGCTTAGGTAGGTTGCCGACCTCTTTTTCCAGATCGCGATAAATCTCGAGCTAGGTTAATTGGAAGGCTACGTGAATTTTTTTTCTCCGTGAAAACGAGAACGTCCTATGAAATATTTAGAATTTTTTTACATTTTGACCATTCGTTCGACCTCCATAATGACTTGCAAAATACACTTGCTCCTCGTCTTTGACTATCGAATTCTCAATATCAAGCGTGCCAATATCAATAAGATTTATGAACGGCTGCTTGTTTTAAATAAAAGCTGCATTTAATCAACAGGAGAAAAAGCCAATGTAAGCTAAGTCTTCGGTACCATTGTATCTCCCCGTCATTTAAAGTTAAACGGCTAGAGATGATAAATCATTGGCGTGATAATGCACGCCTCGGGATCAATCTCATCAGGCCTCTTTACGTTCGGCCTTGCAATTCTCCGAGGTTCCCCATTGTAAAAGGACCTCGTAGTACTATTAAAAGTGCGCATTGCATCAGTGATTCCCAGCGACGTGCGTCAGGCAAGTCGCACTTTTGACCGATAACGGCGGCGTCTCTCTCTCTCTCTCTCTCTCTCTCTCTCTCTCTCTCTCTCTCTTAGTCATTACATCGCAAGAGAAAACTACCCACGACCTGCGCTAGATATTTCTTCCGTTATTGCGCCAGCGGCGCTCGGTGCCCCTTTTTCTCAATGTACCTTTCATGCGCGATCCCCGTTGGCGATTTCCTTAGTAATGCTCGGCCTGCTAAGCATTAAAGGAGTTTGCCGAAGGACATTGCAATAGAACTGAAGTTTTGCATCTCCTTGTCGCACGCAATTATTTTCCAAGTAAACGAAACTGTGGACAAGTGGGAAACGTGCTTCTTTGAAGTGCACTCTCGCGTAAAAAATTATCTTCTATTGCCCAATGTGTCGTATACTTTTGTAACTCTGAGCTTATTATTATGGTTAATTAATAGCTTCTTTTTTTTTTCTTTTTTTTTCTTTTTTTTTCTTTTTTTTTCTTTTTTTTTTCTTTAATCCCAGGGTTGAGGGCCACTTTTGTAAATATGATGCATAAAGTACCTTTTTTTCATCAATAATATCATGATATGATATGATTGTATCAAAAAGGAAACTTTTGCATTTAGTTTAAAGGGAAAGCGCGGGCCAGTTTGTTTTCTTCAAGAGCTCTTTAATTTCATCGACATTAGCTTTGCTTACTATAAAATAAATTTACAATATACATCTATCCTTACAAACAAATTAATTTTCATTAATATTTAATTGTTACGAAATAATTTACTATAGCTTTGAATAGTTATACTTCATAATGGAATTGAATATACGTGATGGAGTGACTTTTTACTCTTATATTTGATTCAACTACTCTACACTATTTTAGCTCGATCGTTTTTATGAATCATCCACGCAAATCCTGACTTTGCCACAATACTAATGATTGGAGAAATATACTCGATTGTGACAATGAAACAAAGCAATAAGAAAAATTAATTTCTTAGGATTAATTCCGTTTAGAGAATACCCAATAAGAATTAAGCAATAAATCTTAATTATCCCATTCATTCTCGTATAATTTACTCATCACTTTAAAATTGTATTCATTAGTGTATGTACGTATATATTTCGGAATAATAATTAAATATTAACATTTTTTTAATAATTAATTAGATCACTAATTAATATATTAAACAAAATTTATATTAAAATTACCAAACATATTAAAGTTTCAATAAAAAAATGGACACTCAGAATCGATAAAAAATACGATCTCTAATAATTTGCTACAATTTATCCGTATTTTATTTGGAAAAGATTTTCTACATAAGCGCTTTATAACCTTTTCTCAAAATATTTTTGTCATAGTGTTAAGAGTTCGTTATAAAATACCTACAACAAAATTTTATGCAAATTAAATGCTGCGAATACGGTACTTTTCATATTTTATACACATATTATCGGTGATTTACCAATTTTTATATATAAGCAACAATGTTTTTCCGTTACATTTATATTCAAATTTTTATTAATATTTCTTTTTTCGTAAAGTATTCGTAAAACTCAACACTATTTTTCACGGTACGTGCCAAATATTTTATAGTGTAATGCGTTACATGTCAAATGGATTGTCAAAAATTTTATTTTACTACTACATAATATATATGTATGAGTATTATTGAATTAAGTACAAAATTATAAGAATAAATTTACAAGTTATTATGAATTAGTTTTATATAACCATTTAACTCGGTAACACAGAAACAACTATAGAAAAAAAATGTTTGTATTCAAAAAGTGTCACTATCATGTAAATAATAAGTAAAAATTCCGCGATGGAATAGAGAATGTATAGTACAGTAGATGAGTAGAAGAATGTGCAATTAATGATCTTTATTTTGTTGCAGATACAAGTCTTAAAGTTGTCGAATCGAGGGCGTAGATAAAGCCTAAGTGAAAGCCAGAGGAAAGAAGTGAAAATGGGTGCGCGACAGAGCAGAAGGTCCGTTGACATAACGACAACACCGAAAAAGGAGGGTTTACCCACCGAGGGTGTCATTGGCGAAGGCCCTGAAAACATTGAGAAGCTGGGGATGATTGAAGAGGCGGACGCAAAGCCGACCTCGAATGGTGTTGCACCTCACACGGATACCAGCGACGATAAGGACAAGGACAAGGACGAGGCTACCGAGAAAGACCAAGACAAGGAGGTAAATTTGCACTTATTTGTTTTCGGAGATACGCTTCACCGCAGCTTCTTACGTACGATCAGTGTTTATTAGGACGTTTGTCATTTTATTGAATAATGCAGATAAGGAAGATTTCCTCACGATTAATTAAAATTGTATTTTAGAATTTATAAACAATATAACAAAAATACATGATAATGCCTTGTGAACAAAATGACGAATAAATGTCGAATGCGCCTGCCTTTGTTTCGAGGAAAACAATGAAATAAAAAGTAAAATAAAAAAATTTCGAATCTATATTAATATTGTATTTGGCTTATCGTGTTACCAAATTACATAATTGCGCAAACATGAATTCATGTTAACACAACAGAGCGATACGATAAAAATTAATCAGAATTTTATTTGGATGAAAGATTAAAATTTCATGTTCGCATGTGTATATATAATGTTGCTGGCCTGCGATATAAAATGCCGAGAGACAGACTGTCTTGATAAAGGTAATGATTTTACTCAACTGTAACGATTAATCGTAGTAATTTCATTTCAAGTACGCACTCGACTAAATTCTGTATTTATTCGTGCGTCTACTTGATCAAAACTTCTTCTCCCATTCTCCTATACAATGAGGGCGAAGAGCCCCGCCTCAATGTAGATCTAACCAGTGATCGATCGAGGCTAAGCAAAAAGTGTGCGCTAGCTGGTGGTCCCCCCGGTAGTCCCAGGGTCGACTTCCATGACGAGTCTCGTGCTTTCTCGAGGCTTCCCGATCGAGCTGATCGTTACCCCGGTATCCCCGCTTCCTCGCTAAACTTAGCCTCTTCGTCTGTTTATTTATTATCGTCGCGGGAGAGTCGGGAGTTTTTGAGAGACATGCTTTACGAATGTAACGTGATTCAGGAGGGTATTTTGGCAGGATGGGGGAGGGGGGGGCCAAGGTGTTGCGCGTCCGTGCGTAAAGCGGCGCGCGGGGAATGAGATGTTTTTTCATGACATGCGATACGCTGCTGAATTCTGGAATTCGAACGCCGAACGTATAACTTGCCTCTCGGTGCCATCCTCAGACACATCGTTAATTTTTCTTGGAAGTAAAGGAGCCATGTCTGCTTAAGCATGTTTTTCGGTGCTCTATATTCTTATAAATAGAGAGATTTTTGGTCTTTACAGTCGTACGAAAAAATGGAATCCCTCTAAGATCTTCCGAGAAATTCTTTAATAAATGGTCTTTTGAAAAATTAGACGATTCGCATTTGTGCGTAAATACTCGCAGGTAATAATTTTGGGTTTAATTAATAATATTATTATTTTCAATGACTTTAAGGTCAATTAATTTGCGAGAAGATTTATAGGTTCAAATAAAAATGAAGCGCGTGGCTTACGTAAGTTGTATATAGGAAATATCTCAAGGAGAGCAATAATTTCATTTCACGTTCGAGTGATGTGCGTTACGTATACTTGAGCTGTTTTTTGTTTTTTTTTTGTTTTTTATTTTATTTTGTTCTTTTTCTGTTTTTAACGGGATAAATAACTTGGATATTTGATTTAAAAAAAATACGTATATTGACTTACTTACCTTTAATTATACGCATAGTTGTTTCATTCCCACTAATGATATACAGCGATCTCATCTTGACGAGCTAATATTTTTCTATCTTTTATTCTATCTTTTATTGTTAGAAACAAAAACAAAAAAAAAATAGAAGTAAAAAATTAGTAAAGTGACGTACGAAAAACATAAGAAATCACAGAAGTGATTAATACTAATTTGGCTAATCGATAAATTTAAACAAATGACTACTTCATAGTAATTGCCTGAAATTAATAAAGAAAATATCTGCTTCCATGTAATACAAGAGTCGTAACCTAAACATTCCATATCAATTATTCGCTTCTAATAACCCTCCGATCGGCAGTATTGTTCTAATAAAGATAGTTTTCTAATAAAAATCGTCGGAAATACATTTAATTGTGACAGCGTAACGTCACCCGACATCTCAATGATCAAGCACGTACTCACGAACCGATAGATCAGCGAATGCTCAAGACGAGCATTCACGCGCATTACCTGTAAAGTGCAAGGAAGTTACACGTTGCAACGAGAGGACGTCTTTATACATCGTAATTCATGCGATCGTCACCGCCAAGCCATCCACGTACGTGGAGTTGCGTCCATAAAAGCTCGACTCACGTTCCACATATTTTTTGCTCCTCTCAGTGGGACGTGACTCTTTCAAGGAAGTTCTTAGTTCGCGAGCCTAGGGCCCTTCGCGCCAGGACGAAATGTGATATTTCCTTGATTACGCGAGTCTGACGGCTGCCATGTTTCAGATAAGGTCCAGCAGTGACACGTGGAGCTATTATGCCCATATGGTAGCCAAGTCTTGGACTCGCTCTCTTCTACCGCCGATCGACAATTAATTCTTCCCCTTCCACTCGCGCTATCCTACTCTTTATTAAGCTCGCTAACGCAGCTGCTCATTCCTCCCTAATCATCAGCCTTCCCACAATCTCGTTTCCCATTTTAAACTGCACATGCGCGCAAGATATAGCCAGATAGAGAAAGCTTCGTATTAATTTTTTGTTGTTTTTATTTCTATTTTACCGTTTCTTTGAAAGTATTCAAGCTACGAACCAAGCCACGACTGTTATTTCTTAAAGTTAATGCTCTCTCTCTCTCTCTCTCTCTCCTCTCTCTCTCTCTCTCTCACTCGAGGCACTGCTTGAAATTCATATTTTCATTTTTAAATAAACGTGTACTAGGGATATCTTGTAATGAAATCTATTTTCTTCCCAGGGTCTAGCAACTGAATATTTTCCTCCATATATAATATTGTGTAATAATTTATTACATTTATCGTTGATTTAAAACAAAATTTCATATACTCCTAAATTATTGTGAAGTTTCTTTGTTTCGTCAATTATTGATATTTCTTTATGGAATCTTTGTAATTGAAGTTGAAATAATTGTTCAAGGCAGATAACAAATTATCATTGCCGCGAGTCTTTCCACAAATAATAACATTATCTGACTCACGTATGCCCTTCTTTTATTCAATAAACAAGTTTATGCTTTCATGTCATCATCCATAATAGGGAGGGAGGCGGAGGGAGAGAGAGAGAGAGAGAGAGAGAGAGAGAGAGAGAGAGAGAGAGAGTAAATATTTGAATTTAAGATTTCATGAAAATGGTGCGTATCGGAGAAAATCACCTCCCATTATGATCTCTCTGCTTTCCTATGAAAAAGCATTTACCCGTCGTCATCAATTGTTTGCCATCGTAATGCTTTATAATCGTCGGCCGCTCGGCCCAAGTCCTCATTAAATGGTTATCCTTTTGCCCCTCGCGCTCTTTGTTGCTTTGTTTCTTTAGACAGGTGTGCAAGAGGCGCCTGCTAAAGTGCGTCGTCCGTTGGCTATCGAGTTTCGAGTTCACTGTGTCTCGGCCGAGACTCACGACGAGAAGAAAAAAGAAAGAAACGACACGACCAGCGGCTGCAAAATTCAACGGGCCAGGGGAGAGGGACACGACGGATAAACGACGGAGGAATACAAGCATTCGCTCAGAGTCGCACACCTGCCTTGTTGGCACAGTTCGAACCAACGGCCATTGTGCATCAGATTTTCATTTCTTTCTATCTCGACACGTGTGCGCACGCGTAAACACGTACGCAATTATCGAGATTTAGCTTTGCGTCCAATCGCTTCGTGCGATTAAAAATCCGTCGACGAATTAAAACTTTGCAGAAAAATTCTAAGGCAATTTAAAATATACGACACTTTTCTCTGTGAATTAATTTAATAGTACATTATTGGAATAAAGTGCTAGAAGATCATCTTTAATAGATCGACACTACAATACATTGATTGTGCTGAATATCTAAGTAGTTCGTTGGATTTATTAAGCAGTTTTGCGCTTGAGTTATCAGTTAGTTTATTTATCAAATCATTACTGTGTTGGCCAATGATGTATCGAGTATACCCTCAAAGGTTAGCACAAAACCTAAAACGTCGCAGAATTTCTTATTATTTTCTAAGTATTATTGCATTGGAAGGTGAGACAGCACGTTCTAATTGAAATTCAATGGCATTTTAACTGGTTTACAGCAAACGAAGTTTAAGGGTCAAAACAACTATATTCCAGTTACCTCCACGACCTTCCTACACTCTGATTTTGAATAGGAAGAAGAAGAAAGAAAGAAGGAACGAAAGAAAGAAAAAACATTAAAGGGCAATATGTGGAGATGACACGATGACCGGAGAGAACGAGCTTTCGTGCCCCTTGTGCCTTTATTATGCTATGGCCTACTATGTTGTTTACCCCTCTAGAGTAGCGATCGTCCCTTCTCCTATGACCTTGACCGTGAGAGGCAATGCATTATGTTAGGTTTCCGCAGCGCTCTAATAGTACTCGTAGTCAAATAGTTGATGCATGGCTGGGAAGTGGGTGGGCGAAAGACGTTTTTCCATCATTTTTAGCGAGAGGCTCGTAAAATCGAAAAACGTCCGTCTCTGCTTTACAATTCCTTAGTATGTAAGTTTGACTGACTCTTGGGACAGCATCGACGCTGTCGCCGCCGTCGTTGTTTTCATTCGGCTGCCAAATTATGGCCGACGCGTGATTTAGGGCTCAACAGGTGGATTAGCTCGATGGGCCTCGAGAGTCCCTTCTTGGGACTGGGTCGTTTGAAGATAGAGAGACGACAAGACGCATTGCTCCTGTCCTTGTCCCGTCCTTGTCCGACTAGCGTTCTCGACATTGTTGTTATTAGTCCCCGATGGAATTCTAGAACTCTGGGGATTTTTTTTTACTGAGCCTGAAAGGGGTGGGGGATGGAAGCTTGTTTATGAATTCGTAGCCGTTTCGAGGAGCATATTGGACTGCTCGTGTATACACGCCTGATGCGTTTCCCATGACGCATTATTGATTTATAAAGTCGGGTTATCGATGACTGTACTTTTGACTGTATGTTTGTGTGCGTTACTCTAAGGTATGATATACTTAGGTGCGTATGACTGACTTTG